TTTTTGTTTTTTTTGTTTCGAAACGACATGATATATTACTCAATAAAGGCTAACGACATGGGGATTGACCCTTACAACCACCTACAAATCAACCTCACAATGACATTGAGGCTTTGCAAATAAGACTAACCACGGTTTAATTGTTTTTTAATTAAATAAATTTTTATTATTTGATATAATTTTCATTGATATTTATTATAATAAATTACAAGATTGATTTTCCGTGATTCATGTTGATAATATTTTGGTCAAGATAAATATTATTTTATTAATATTTGCAATACTTTCATTGATATCATTTTACAAGATTGATTTCCATGATCCATGTTGATAATATTTTGGTCAAACAAATATTACATCGTATTTTAAGTTCTAACCATAATATTAATTTTTTTCACAAATATTCACTTTTTATCCAAAAATACTTATAGAAAGTCGTAACATATTAGGTAGATTTTTTTACCAAGTTATCACACAAAATCAAGTTGATGAATTAATCTTTGCCATTATATTTTTTTTCTTAAGCTTTATTTTGTTAAATATAAAAAGTAAATTGTTCTTCAAATTAATATAATTTACCATTTAAAAGATAATGATCTGATACATTAAATAGTTTTACTAATGATAAAAAATTGAAATTGAAATATATTAACTATTTTTTATAATTTATTCGTATATTATTGGTACCCATGATTATTTTTTTTCATTTTTTTATTTTTATTTATTCTTTAATTAAATTCTTGTAAAATATATTTTCATTGCAGAGTATGCTAAATAAACTACAAATCCTTATAATGCGAATTAGAAAAATCTTGATCATAGAAGAGATTGAGTTTTTGACATTTTCTAAATCAAAGTTGTTTAATTAGTATACAAAATTAAATTTTAAAAAAACATGTGTATATTTTGTACAATATTTATATACTTTTTAGTTTTAAATTTATTTATATATTTTTAATTGACTACATGAATAAATAATACTAATGTGCATTGAATATTTCTCATTACATCAAATAAAAAGAAAAAGAAGACGTACAACTTCTATAACTTTATAAATAATAATGACATTATATGAAAACAAAGTTTATAATAAAATAATAATTAAATATTATATGATGAACAAGAATAAGTAAAATTGTTATTCTCTTGTATATCAAGGAATAAATATATATCCTAAAATCAAATTTATATTAGTATAAAAGTGTTAGTGAGATAATATATTAATTATTTTACAAGCTAGCCCTAACATACTCATATTTAATGTTTTGACTAAAAAAACAACGTTGATTAAAAAGATGCAAAATATGTTATAACCTTATTGTTTATTACTCTTAATGTTGATTAAAAGAGGTAGAAAATATATGATAACTCTATTGCTTTACATACGTAAACCGACAAAGCCTGTAAAAATAACTCATTTAATATTTTTGTCTCGTGCATCGCACGGGGTACGTACTAGTTATTTTATAAACAAGCAAACCCTTAATCATCCTAATTAGGTGGGATCATTTATCCCAAAATATTAGCACTAAATCCCACATAATCCCATCCATTGGGCCTTAATCAATAAAAGAAGCTGAGGGATTGAGGAAGGATTATGTAGGATATCCCTCCAAAACAAGAAAAGCAACTAGGCCTTAAGGGATTCGAAGCTTCGTTCACTCGTCGGTTGTTCAAAGCACAAAAAGAAAAAATAAAACACTTCAAGATGATTGGAGTTGAATTAGGCTAAACTTAACTACGCACTTGAAAGCAATTGAATAAACATCTAAACTTGGGAAGAAAGATTGGAACTTGGTTATCCCGAGTCCCTTTTACTTGATGAAAATAAAAATAAACGAAGAGAAATACGCTAGCAATAAGATTATAGATAGATAAACCGAGCATTCTTTACTAAATAATCACGTTTTAAATCAAGTTGAGACCTTTATAACAACATAGGCACAAATTTAACTCTTAATACTAAAGCATACAAGAAAAATGTAGTAGAGTCCTAAAATCGAGCATCAACATAAGATTCCGGCCAAGAAACCAACTTCACCTCGATAAACATCATAAGCAAGAAGGAAAACAAATTCGAAGTAATAAACCCTAATTCAACTCCCAAACACAAAGCATAAAATAAAAGAAAAAGAGACCAAAAGGGAAAAGTTAAAAAATGAAACTTATTATAGTTAACTTCAGATGTTATATAATCAATTTAATAGTTATTTCATTAATTTAAAATTTGACTTAAAAAATAATTTAATTAATTCCTATTATATATAAATATATAATAATATTGAAAGATATATATAAATTAAAAAAATATTTACTAATTATTACTTTAAATTGTTCATTTAGGGTGTTCGTATACCTAGACAAGCTGATAGAGACGACGGGGTCGATGAGCATATTGAAGGTTCTGGAGCCCGACACACTAGAAGTGGGAATATAAATGCGTCCGTTCGTCGGGATCGACAGATGCTGATTGAAGAGGCTCGGAGGATACAAATTGGTCATGCTGGCCAGTCAGGCAGTTCACACCCCGCACCACCACTACCGGTTGGTCAGTAGGGATATTCTTTTCATGGTGCGGCTGACCAGCGAGGCAGCTTCATAGTCTCCGTCCCCGGACCAGTACTGTACGATCACGATCAACAGAGATATTATTTTGCTGGCCAGGCAGGCCGTTCAATACCCCTTGCACCAATATCGTACGATCAACAGGGATATTATGTTGATGAGTTGGTAGCCCAGAAGGAGCAGCCTTCTGACGAGTACGCGTCTTCATATGATCAGGACGATATTCCTTCCCTCCACCCCCACCACAGCCTATTGCACGACCGACACGACCTACTGTTCCTGCACAGCATGCGGCTCATGTACAGCATGCGACTCCTGCACAGTCTGCGACTCCTGTTCGGCCTGCTCCTCCACGACAAGCTGGGGGGCTTTTTGCTAGCACTGGATCCTTAGGTAAATAATTTACGTATTTATTGTTGTTTGACATTAAATATTTCGGCTTAATAATAACAAATTATCGGTACTGTTAGTGACATTATTTCATATACGTATTTATATATTTATACGTTATATTCTAATGTAGGTACTAGCAAACGATCTAGGACTGATCATGAGGCAACTTGGATCGTTAGAGGTCCAGTGGCCGGTTGACACATTAATGAAAGTGTGATCCCTAGTTTTCTAGGGTACATAGCCTCCCGAGTGTGGAATAGAGAGACGCGAGGCTTACTGAAATGCCAGAACATACAACGAGTTGTGGAAAATCTGAAAGATTGGCGAGGTGATATGTCTTTCGAGGCATTTGACCTGATCGGACAGACCGGGCTGTCACATATGGTAGACTCCATGCACGGCCACTCGGACATTCCACTGCTTATTGCATTTGTGGAGCGATGACAGCCAGATACTAACTCGTTTCACCTGCCTTTTGGTGAAATGAGCATTATGTTGCACGATGTCCGGGCCATTTTGGGGGTTCCTGTTGAGGGAGTCGTGGTCGTTGAGGACCCATATTTAGAGGCTTGTCAGGCTTACTGCATGGAGATACTTTCGGTCAGGAAGCCTGACTTTATTGCATCGTTTTGGCAGCGTGGTTCGGTGACCGAAGCTTCCGTTGTGGAGAAAGTCAGGGGTAAAGGTCACTTGGCTTCGGATGAGGCTGGTGCCTGGATTTGGGTGCTGCTGGCTACCAACAAAATATATATTTTTAAAATTAATTTTAACGTACATAGTTACTTCTTAGTTGAAATTTATATTTATGAATTGCACCCGGCTATTGAACTTTATTTTTATTAGTATATTATTCAAATTTTCAATAGTAATATCATTGCATATGATATATTCGATGGGGATATACCTTTTTTATGGTTAAATTGACTACACATTAGAAACTTTTGTTTATATTTTAAATTACTTATTAAGTCATTATGATTTAAACATAGTTGTTCTGATTATTTTGTTAAATATTTTAAGTATTTCTTAATAGTGAATGTAATTAATTAAATTAATACCTACAACCATAGATGACAATATATTTAATCAAATCAATTTCATAATAGTTTTTTGAATTGTGTCAATAAATTACTATTAAATAATATAAGATCTTATTAATAATATCTAATAAATCTACTAATTGAAGCTAATTTGTAGTTCATGAGTAATAGTCATTAAGTGTATCAAATTTAATTATATTTTTCATGCATAAAACTTGCATTATCCATTACATAGATAACAATTTCTATAGTTTCTCTATATATAGCAAGCACCAACAGAAATAATGTAGTCTCTTGTCCTCATCATTGACATGAGAAATAACAACATTTTCATATATCTCTATCATCAATTGCATCTACACAATTATAAAACAAAATATCTTTGAAAATGATAATAAAAGAAAAAAAAATACCAAAAACTAATAACCATATATATGCACCAATCTTCCAGGGAAAACTATTAAAACTGATCAATCTTCTTTTCAAGGGGATGGGCGCAGAGAGATGAAACGTATCCTCGTGCAACTATTGAGACATCACGTATTCTTGAAAGGGATCGCATGCTTCTCCAATCTCCATACTCATCCTCCGTGAATATGGAATTGTTCCAGTCAAATTCTTCATTCATATGATATTCCGCACGCACATTCTCGGGCAACATTTGAGATGTCGCGTTCCTTGAAAGGGACCATATGCATTTGACCATACTTCATTCATAGGATGTCCTATTGGCGGCCAATTCGTGAACTTATTCCAGTCAAATGACAC